GGCAACTGAATGTGCTGCACCAGGCCACCTCATGTTTCAGCTGCTACGATATTTGAGATATCGCGATACTCATAAGGTCGGGCATTTGGAAGCCTTATTTTGCGAGAGATACGTCTTGGTGATTAAATTTACTTTAGGCACCCAGATCAATGTGAATGATAAGTGAATCTTGCAAATATGTACCAACCCCTATCTGGTTCTCTGTGGGCGCCATCGTGTTACTTGGCGTTTGTCAACCGCTAACCAACCACGGAGCAAAAGTGATCACATCACCGTGAACCGTCGGTGATGAGTTTAATTCCTTGACTGTCAGTGAATGTAAGCATTGACTGAAATCACACTCTCCTGTGGAATTTCACTGAATTTCCCTAACGTACGAGCTCACCATTTGGTAACAGAAATGCTTTGTGATCGATAAGTTAACTAAATCCACCAAAGATCACTGTAAATTTAGCGGAATACACTCATTTGCAGACTTATTTGGTTTTGCGATAGACTCACCAGGGACCCAGATGATGTTTCTAGGCAACTGAATGTGCTGCTGCTGTACATATTTCGAATATCGTAGAGACTGAAACATGAGGCGGCCTGATGCATCACGTTCAGTTGCCTAGAAACATCACAAACGATAGATTCAGCTGGGCGCCAGGTGAGTCTCTCGAAAAACCAAATAAGTGTGCAAATGAGTGCATTTCGCTGACATCAGCAGACTCTGGTCGTTAAACTTATTCTCACGCAAAAGATATATTACACAATAGCGAGCGTTTTTATCTGAAAGGGGCGCACCGTTACCAAAATCTGAAACTCAAAGTGCATGCTTATCGGTCAGCTGAAGTGATGTGTTACCTCAAGTATGTCAGATCGGTTCCTGATGCCTAGCTCTTGGACAAACTATGTGGACCAATCAGAGCTGTTAAACTGCCAAACTTGGATTCAAAATTTCATCAGTTATTTTCTACAAGGTCACCGGCATAATGGTTTAGACAGTTTGTCAGAGAGTTTGTCGATTAGAGATGAAGCCTGTCCAACCACAACAACCATGGTTTGACGCGCACATGTCATAAAAACATCACTTGATAGTTAGGAAACTGATGGGTCAGTTCGTTCTAAACCCGGAGCCCTTACATTTGCACATCAAACTGTTTCGCCCCATGTGCATGAGTGTGTTTTTTAACTCGGCAGAAAAGATTTGATTACTTTGGAGGCTAAATGCTTACACCCAGATCTGATAGTGACTGGCGATAGTGGTAGTTTATTCGAATGCATACTATGAAAACAGACAAATGCGTGACCGAATATCCCGGCTGCGTTAACTGCGTGGTCTGGTCAGATGGGTGGGATAAGGCGCTCACTCGATGGTTTGAATTCATTCATTTCGTCAAAGTAGTGTGTCACTGAGAGCGAGCTAAAAAAATTCGAATGCATACTATGAAAACAGACAAATGCGTGACCGAATATCCCGGCTGCGTTAACTGCAAACGGTGGTCAGATGGGTGGGATAAGGCGCTCACTCGATGGTTTGAATTCATTCATTTCGTCAAAGTAGTGTGTCACTGAGAGCGCTACCAGCTAAAAAATCATTAAACAGACATAATTGCACGGCATCCTGGCGCCGACTGAACAATTTCCCTAATAGTGTCTGGTTATGGTTTGTAATCTGCGTCATTTGCCTACTCTCAGCTAGGTGGACCAAACTGATTTCTCGGCTGGTGGGGGCGAAAAATGGGGAAAAATAGGGATTTTAGGAGGGAAAACACGCAATACGGCACAATGGGACAATAAAAGTGAATTACAACGCGTGAATTTTGCATTGAACTATTTAAGGGCAGCATTGTCACATGATATTTAAGCTTAGTGAACCAAGTTCAAAGCCTGCTTGTTGGATTTTGGACAATGTTTGGCCTACTTCAGCTACATATCAAGAAATTTTCTCATGCAACCATGTCTTCAAATTCATCAGTTACGCAACCAAGGCGATGCTGTGAAAATTCGTCTAACTGGGGAATTCGGCGGAATATTCCAGTCAAATTTTGGCACTCAATCGTGATCTGACAAACGTTTAATCCGTTGTTTAAAAAGCGAGTTTTGTGTTGAAGAGGTGGTGTCTGGTTTCGACCATATTGTTCGTAGTTCGCGTTGCACATTCGCACCGGTTTCTCTCCTGCTAAATGAGAGCCATCTAAGGCAGGTACGGTTAGTTTTCCTAGGTGCAAAGCACGGAACGTTTCGTTCATTTATAGAATGTGAAGAAATCAGCCATCGACGTTTTATTTCAGAAAGTTGCCGCCAGTAAACCCCTTCATGTGAGGATGGTCTGCATCAGCTGGAGACCAGTCAGTCAGCTCGTTAAGCTCCCTATTACTTGATATTCCAAGAAGACAGCTAGGCTATTCTTGCAGCAGCATCTCATTGGGGAGAATAGTTTCCTTCTTTTCTGTGGGAAACGATTTTGGAAATGTGTGGACTTTTGCAGCCGCATTCCAATATTTATATTGCAAGACAAGTTGTTTTCTAGCAGATAACGCGGTTTAAGCAAAGAGTAGTGCGTGATTTCATTCGATCGCAAACATCATCTTCTATTTTGAAAAAAGATAGGTGCACATTCTAGTGAATACTAACACAGATAAGGACCATCTTAACTGCTGGAAAAATTAACAGTAATGTTCTATTTCATATATCCATAAACGACTACCGTGTAGGTAGACTAGCAAAAACGGAGGCACCGACATTTTCCCTAAGGAATTTTGCGCTGAATTGGACACTGCAACACAATCGTGGTAGAGAAATTCAGAATCAGTGAGTAAACTGTTCCCAGGAACATCGACTCAGCCAATTTTCGAAAGATTCACACCAATTTAACTTCGAAATCCTTAGTGCAAGAGTCGCGTCAAAGGCGTTCGATATACACCGAAGTAATCATGACTGATGAGGAGTGAATAGCCACGTAATAGACAACCTGTGTTGCTCTGTTCTTTTGCAGGGAAGATTCTTGTGCTTTGGTTGCCATCGCTTCTTCGTTCAATAGGCCAGTTAACCTGGGTGAATCACTGAAAGCCATTACTCAGTTGTCCACTGATTACAAATCCAAAAATATCGTGGATGTCAAAACAAACACTTAACGTTTCAGCAGGAACGCGAAGTTGCACCCGGGGAGCTGCAGCTAGCATCAAAATACATACATGCATACATACAATGCATACACCACAAGGAGTACCTACAAAAAAGAAAGGTACAATACTTTGTGTAGACAGGTCGGTGCAACACAACGTGAACGCCCGTGGACTGTCACAACATGACCAAGAAGCGACTTTACACATTCTTTGCCTGAATTCTTCAAGCGCCCAGAGGAATGCGAAGAAAGAAGTCAAGTACAACCTCATTCGGTAAGCAATGATAGTAGTGAACTGACGACCAATTAGGCTCGCTTGAATTGAAATCCAACGGAAACGAGATATTGACGTTAGGCTTCCGTTTCTCCTGCTTGGATAGCTGACCATTTCGTCGGGCACCGATATAAGCATATTCACATCCCTAGCAACTGATGGCCTCTTTGGGATTGACGTATACTTGTTTCGTAAGGATACAGAGTTTAAAAAGCATGAAGAATTAGGAAGACTTTGAAAGTTCCTGGAAAATCGACGGTACCGTCTACGTCATCTAGAGTTCTTCGTGAGGTCGCTCAGCTAAAACCACCTTATAAATTTATCGGTCGAACAGAGGCAGTCCTAGGAGATTTTTTAAACCTAATGAATTTCTCGTGTAAGCCTCTATCTAACACTTTTGAGAAGTTTGCTGCAAAAGTCTGTCCGTGAACCTTTTACCGCAAGGTGACTTGGTTTGAAACAGTGAAAAGACACAACCCTGTCATTAATTTCCTTTATGAAAATACAGTGCGATATGTCGAATATCGTACCAACTGCAACATGAGGAGGCCCGTGTGCAGCACATTCAGTTGAAGAACATTATAAACAAGAGATTCACTTTAATATTCCTTGAAAGCCAAACTGATTTGCAAATGAAACTATTTGTCGAAGTCAGTCCGGCTTGGGTTCAAGTAGAACATAAGTTGACGGAAACTCGGTGACTGAACCTACCCGATGAGCTCTTAGGAGGAAGAAAGCGGTCGTGGATTGTCGAAGAGTTTTCAGCAACCTTATGAGTAGTTTCCTTCATGACAGTACATCTACCTTTGCACATCCCAAGTGTCTTAATTTGACAATACGAACCCTCAAGACCTTCTTAAGTGATATCACAGAACCATTAACTGTACTATGAAACCCTTACAGACTCAGGTCATGACTTCTTAACATTCTTGCCAAAAGCTCTGTCACAAAATAGCGATTTCTTAACATGAAGTGTCTCTAGGTCCAATAAGTTATATAAGCTGAGCGTTTTTGCATATCTGGCAGTCAGCTAGGCAAAACTTGACCGTGCGCATACTAAATATTCCTTTGGAAAAAGAAAATAAGGTTTCTATGTAGAATTCCGTGAATCCAAATCACTCTCTAGCCGGGATTATCTTTTCAAGAATCTAAGGTTCTCTCTACAATGCCGCGCCTATTTTACCTGACAGTAAAATACTGTGACTGTTGTTGGTCCTCGGGGCTGTACCAACTCTTGTACCATCATGGTGTGCAACTTACCATTGTATCAACAAGATAAATTCGTTTTCTGATCGAGATTTTCTCCTGTAACAGAATCCAACCTATGCCAAAAAGCCGAGAAGCACTGCGCGGCTGTTTCATCCTTTCTGGGCATCCCAAGTGCGAGTCAAACACACTGCGGGTCAGCTATACACAGTCAAACAATTCAGTCTTGAAATACCAGCTGAGAGGTCGAGAGTTCGCACAGTCCTGGAAGTTTGTGAGATATGCATTGCTGACGATCTCCGACAAGGGCGAAACAACCGTCGAGTGCTTCTTGCCTTCTCGGTACAGGATAGCTTCACTTGCAGAACTGACAGTGAACTGAAAATTCCCAAATTATTCCACACTATCCATAAACGTATCTTCATCGTTAGATCTTGATATGCATCCTGCAGTAATAAATTTCCGCTACCAGATGAAGACTAAAAAAGATTATTAGTATGTGAAGATGTATCCCGATGGAGCAACTCGGTCATAATAAGGAAAAAATTCAACGACTGTTTATCTACGCGAAGCCCCTGGGAGAGTCTTCTGGTAAGCAAGCAGGACGATTCATTACTTTGGGATAACGCAGAGAAAATCAACCCAGTGTATAATTATCAGGTCATCTGTGGGTGACTTTATGTTGAAATACATCGAGTTCCAATCATTCGAAACAGACCGAGACATGAGAGATAAGATCATTGTACGAATGGATCCATTTCACATTAGTCTGTTAGTCTGTGTTAAAAAATCTGGTAAAGTCCACTGAGAAGTGAGGATTACAGTGTTTAGCAAAGCAGGACAGAGCAGGTACAAGATAGCGCACGTATAAGATGTCACTGTTATGTTGAGAGGACAAGATCAGTGACACGCAGGCATGAAGGTCGATAGAACAATGATTTGTGCAAGATGTTTCCATCTTGGGCAAGAGATGGTCCAACAATGTTTTTTAAAGTTCGACGGTCTACTGCAGCAGGTCGGACGCCGAGTAGAGGGTCTAACCCACTCAGAATTCACGAACAGCCCCAGCTGATTCGCATAGCTTTTCAAAGGAAGAAGGATTTGATACAAAACTAGAAATTCAGCAAATGACAATATCCAAAGTTATGTTCCAGCTAAATCTCTTATAATACTGTCCAGCTGAGTCTGTCGCCGAAGCAATCTAGCCTTCAAATCAGTTTATTTCGTAAACTGCTTATAATTTACATAAAGGAAACTACTCACAAGGTTTCTTGGCGGCCTTTGGCTTTGACGGGGTCTTGGCTCTTGGCTTGGCCGGCTTCTTTGCAGCCTTGGGCGTCTTCGGGACTGCAGGTTTCTTAGCCTTGACTACTTTGGGCTTCTTGACAGGCTTAGGCCTAGTAACGGCGGCCTTCTCGGCAACCTTGAAGCCCCCGGATGCATCTTTGCCCTTGTTACGGACGCGAACGAGGACACCTTTCTCTACGGCATGAACGACAGCCCACGACTGGCTTCCCCCTTCTTGGGGCTCATCACGTAGGCGCAGTCCCCGAGTTTCCTTCAACCTTATGTTCTACTTGAACCCCAATTAGATTGTTTTCTAATTTAACTTCAAGTGGGACACAAAGGTGGCGGAAAATCTGGTACTGCGCCTACTTGGTCAGCCCCAAGTAGGATGAAACCTGTCGTAGTCTATTGGATTGATTTCAATAACCCCTGAGGCTACAAATAAATGTAGTGCAATCGCCCATTGATGTTTCTTAGCCTTGAGTACTTTGAGCTTCTTGACGGGCTTAGTCTTAGCAAACGCGGCCTTCTCGGCAACCTTGAAGCTCCCGGATGCATCTTTGCCCTTGTTACGGACGCGAACGAGGACACCTTTCTCTACGGCATGAACGACAGCCCACGACTGGCTTCCCCCTTCTTGGGGCTCATCACGTAGGCGCAGTCCCCGAGTTTCCTTCAACCTTATGTTCTACTTGAACCCCAATTAGATTGTTTTCTAATTTAACTTCAAGTGGGACACAAAGGTGGCGGAAAATCTGGTACTGCGCCTACTTGGTCAGCCCCAAGTAGGATGAAACCTGTCGTAGTCTATTGGATTGATTTCAATAACCCCTGAGGCTACAAATAAATGTAGTGCAATCGCCCATTGATGTTAGCTATTGTAAACTTCGTTCAAACCTTCGTGTTCTTCAAGGAATGGGGTTTGAACAGGCGTAAATTATTTTTCCCCCATTCGCGCCATAATTCCGATTACAAACCATCTCGAATCCGGAAATAGCTCCATTGTTCCTGTGTAAATTTTACTCTGTAAAGTTCAATAACTGTTGAGTCAAAAAGTGTTTTTTCTCTGCATAGCTCCTTCCAGGGCAGTTTTTTCCACTCTACACTGAAATCTGCTGTACAATACACTTCATTGAGGAATACGGTGTACTGAAGCATGCTGGTTACTACATTATGGATGAGGTAAGTGGAAACGTCCGACGTTTCGGCCACCGAGGGTGGTCTGCATTATGGAGCAAATGACTGAAGTTACAGCATGACCACCATGGTTAGCCAAAAGGTGACAGATATTTTCAAATAACAAGTCAGAGTTCACTTCGGATTATTAAAAGGCACGTCTGGGAACAGCGTGGAACCAATTCTTAAATGGTCAACAAGCTGTCTTGTCGGTCGCGACTGGCGTAAAGTTAATAGCTGTCGTGAAACCTGTGACTGTGCGCATATGCCTCTTTTTATGCATTTTTGAATTGGCAAGCGAAGTTTTGTTCGGGATACTTGACTGACTTTTGCGTGGTAAATTAGGCCAAGCCAGACCACTGAAAAGTCAACACTGTCAGACCCACTGGCGCGCGAAAATGTCATTCGAATGGCCGCTGATTCAGCATCATGCATTTGTGCATACATGTCTAGATTCGGCGACAAGCCATGCAGATCGTCAGGGCTGACGCGAGTGTTCCTAGCTAACGCGTGAACGTGACAGATGAATCACTAGTAGCGACTGAAACATGAGGCGGCCTGGTGTAGCACATTCAGTTGCCTGGAAACATCACAAACGAGAGATTCAGCTGGGTTCCAGGTGAGTCTTGTAGACATATTTTAATAGGTTAATTGAGATAGGGTGAGTCTTTCGTGCGGGCCAGTTATCTGTGTATTGGGTTGCTTATATGGAAAGTATGCAACCGATACTTTCAGATGTCTGCTGCCGGTAAGGAATGCGGTAGCTTGGTCAACTCCCAAACCGGTTGGTTTATCTCGTAGGGCGGCCGAAGCACATGTTCGGTGAAGTACGTTTTTACGTCCATCGTTTCTACTGTTTGGCTAGCGTGGACAGTCAAGGCTGGGTTATCACATCTTATTCATTCAATGCAAAAGCGTGCAATTCACTGCCCCTCTCATGCTCCGTGGACAACAATTTGATTTGATTGGTTTGCGACGATATGTTTCCAAAGTGGTCGAAACAGACGCTAAAACCGAAAGCTATCGTCATGTTTTACAACAAAAATAGATAAAGTCAGACAGGGCGGTAACATCTGCTAAAACTCATTGACAAGAAAAGCCTCATTAAGCCATCCAAATCAAACTCCTCAGAGGTTATCTAATTTGTTCAATCTCTGAGCTTCAAACTGTCTCTCTGATCTTTTGGGTGAAACAAGAGAAGGAAAACCAATGACAACCAATGAGAACACTTAGGACGCCTGACCTGTGTAAGCATTATTTCAGGTCACCCGCAAACCTCCCCAAAGTGAGCGAAGTGCTTAGGCTAAACCAGATCTTTTTTAAGATACAGACTTTGGAATGAATTTCGTCGGACACCTCGTTTGTCACAGTGCGACTAATCCGTACAGAATATGCAGCTGGTAGCGCCAAGCATAATGACGCAAACGTGATAACCCACTGAACCATTTTATGCTATATTTTACACCACACCGTTCCTCATTAGACCACATCGTGCCGCAGCGTACCTCGCAGTATCATACCAAAATATGCTATCTATACCACACTGCATCAGAGTACAAAAAACTCTACTGTACAATAATAGAGCGTACTACGTTTTACCATACTACTACACAACTAGTTACTTCCGCACTACCATTTACTCCATCCTCCTTAATCCCAATTTCCTCACTCACCTCTGTGGTGCACCGATAAACTGATGAATGATGCTGGACCGAAATGGGCCCCCCAACATTTCTGTTTTTGCATTCATTAGATAAAGGAACCTCAGAATTCCAAACTACAGATAAGTTTGTATGTGAACATGCTTGGTTCCACTTGGGAAAATTGCTTCGGTAACCCAGCAAGGTTGCGGAAATCACTCGCACTGAAACCGATTGTTCATTCTGTAACTCTGGGTAAATGGAAAACGGGCATTGGCACAGGGATGACTCATTCTTCGGACAAAAAACTCCCTTTGGCAAAAAGAAAGTCTTTTATAAACAGTTCTCAGGATTTTCCACCAGTTTGTATCATTAATCGGTCTCCCCAATAGAAGACATCTCTTCCTGACTGGTGAAATTTACAACTACCCACATTTGCTCTTACGTCATAAGGCAACTTGGGCACGTTCCATAATCAAGTCATCAAATCACCTTCAAATCACCAACAGAAACAAAGCGCTGGTGATATGATTTTCTTCTGCAGGGCTTAATTAAAATTTTATGCTCATTTACTCATTCAACGCAAGTCACCCGGGCTAAATTAGCTCAGAGCTTTGGAGAATAAACTGATCAATAAAAATTTAATTAGCAACATTGATCTGCTTAAGGTTGAACGTACTGCGTGCTTCTTGAAGATCTTTCGGATTACCATACGACAACGTTTCACGCATTCCACAGGATTCCCTCGAATAGTCATCAGCTCGCTCCTCAAGACAGTTGGAATGCAGGAAGGGTGAGTCCATTTGAATATTTGGAGGTAACAGTTCAAACGATTCAGGGGAATTCAACGGTTGGCACGTGTATGCAACATAGCCAAACTGTGGTTGGAAATGAATCGCCGGCGGGTCTGCATGTGGTGATCCGGACAAGTCCCCGGCAGTGCCTTTGTTGCCCAAATGGGAATCAGGATTGTGCATTGACATGATTTCTCCACTCTGTCAAAACGAAAAAGGGTAAGCCTTCGTTATACCGGAACAGTATTCCATTCAGTGAGGTACACTAATTTACGCACCAATTCAGTTTTGCTGGCAGACTCACCTGGAGCCCAGCTGAATCGCTTTTATATGGTGTTTTTAAGCAGTGTATTAAGTAACGTATTACGTCTGTACAGGTATCCCATTTAGTTTATACAGTGCGTAAGCACAACATGTCAGACCAGCTGGATAGTGAGACAGACGAAATCAAACCTTTCAGTGTGACAGCTTTGTCACGTGGTACTACTTAACTTGCAAGTGACAAAGCTGATTGTTGATCAGGTGGCTGTTGATCTGTTCGCCGAGCTTGGCAATTGGCTTGCGCATTGATGATGTCTCCTCGTATGGTGACGAAACGTTTGCAAGACAATTGCCAAGCTCGGCGAACAGATCAACAGCCACCTGATCAACAATCAGCTTTGTCACTTGCAAGTTAAGTAGTACCACGAATACCCTGTCAGAATGCCGGCGGACCTGATGGGGAATGAGGATTGTTTTAGTGAGTGGTTGTCGGTGGCATGTATTAGCGAGGCAGTCTGTCCCCGCCATCAGTTGTCCCCTAAGAAGTTTGTTGCAGACAGCTAAAACCCTATATGTGGCTAATCTTAGGCCATTTGTGAATATCTCTCGCGTCCTGAGAGTTAAGCACCAGTATGTATTACTTTATTGTTGTCAATGATGATAAGGACATCCTGCCAGGAAAACTTTCCTTATTCTAAATCAGTAGATTCCGGCTTTGCTTCGGTTTGAGATCACCCGAATTGCTCAATATCGGCCTTATGCGAAACCAGAAACTTCGATTAGGTGTCATCCTAGTCGAACTTGTCGCCATTACCTCACCAGCATGCAGTGGGCGGAACTGGATTATCAGGATTGAACAGGGGAGCATGCTCACAAGTGACTTCTCTAGACATCTCGAACGACGATCCGGTATGTGTCCACTTGTGGATCAGTCAACCCAACACTTCTCACAGCTGTGGGCATCCGTCCAGCTGTGACATCGACCAATAGTGCTGGGCCATCCCTTGGACCACTCGTATGGGTTAAGCGTAAATGCATTCGAATGGCCAGGCATGACGGTCCAGATGAGTCCAGCGTTAGCTGATGGAGTTGCCAGCCAGGTTGCCTGGTATGTAGAACAACCGAAGTTCAACTTCCAATGAGGCTGAGGAGAGACTGTGAATAAACTGTTTTAACAGCGCTACTCCTGGCCAGCGATCCCTTCTAATAATTTGAACCAATCAGAGTAATCAGGCCACGGCAAGAGTGGGACTGATGGTACGGTAATCAGACAGTTACAGGAAATTACCATCACGAATTCACATTTCCGGTTTTGTGCTTCATACTAAATGCGAATAGTCGAAATTAACACAAGCTTAGTTTCCGACCAATTAGTTAAAATACACAGTCTTTTAGGCGTTAGATTATACATTAGAGAGAGTAGAAAGAATTTGCAGTTCCGGTTAGTATTCCTCTCTGAACGTAGGGTCAGTTTATGCTCCAGAGACAAGAGTCACCGTAACTTTTTATCATCTTTGTTGGGAATCTTAATCAGTATTCCGAAATCTGTGAATCGCTAAGGAGATTTGAGACTCTACCTCTATTAGACACCTAGTCACAAGTAAATCAACAACTTGTATGCGGACAGAATGCAACGTCACTATCCCCAGTCAAGTTGAACCATAATTTCTCATGTGAAAATGGGAATATTTCCGCTTGTTAACAGATAATTTCAACGCTGCATGACACTTTTATGCGTGGCATACGGCGTTGAGGGTACATTTTTGCCATTTAATCTCACCGGACAGAGTATGACGGACATTTTGTGCCTGATGTGCGAGTCTTGAGTGTGCTAGCGCTTACCGCGTCTTGAAGAACATTCAACATTGTTTGTCCTTTCTTCGGTTGCTGGTTTTTAGATGCGTGTTTCCATACAAAAACTCTTACATACACTGGGATTCATCTTATCTGACTGGAACTGTTGGTGGCATGACTTCGAATGAGACGTTTCACTCTTTTATCTCATATTCTCCTGTTGCCCTTTCGCATTCATCACTTGCATTCACTCTTGATGTTTGTGACCATGCTCTTCAAAAATAACCGAGGTTTCATCCTGCGAACTTGGGTCACAAATTTCTGGATATGATACAGTTTACAAGGCTCACTAACCGCGTCAACATCTAGGTAAGTGAAATTCGAACCGGTCTGAAACTTTGTTGCACAACGTTTCACATGTCTCCGACTTTGGTACACTGAACAGAGCTAAACACTGCCGTTTAGACACCGCCGCGTTTCGCAGAAAAAATTGAACAAGTGAACTAGACAAACAGAAGTAACAATACCCTTACCACGCTTTTTCTGAATACATTGGTTTTCCCACTTTCCTATTATCTGTTATAAATGCGACCAGCACATTCACTCCAACCTAGAAACACAAACCATCGCGACCAAACCTTCTGGGTTAGAAATAACCACAAGAATCAACTGTTATGCACTAGTGAACGCGTCGCTCACGTATGCGACAGCGGATGTTCCTACCAATGTTCCCACAAGGACAAGTAGACAAAAAATATTCGTGTCTGTTATGCTCAGTCAGCAAATAGTGAAGGTGAGGTTTACCGGACACCATGTCAACTCATGCGTGATGTCGCATGTCCACTCGCTTAATTCCGGTCAGGTGTAATGCGGTCCCACCCAGTTTTTCATTTTATCACACATGGAACTCAGTGAGATGTGAAGAATTGAGGCAGGTAAGTTGATGTCGTTGATTTTTCAATGGGTAAGTGTTAATTACGTATACAAGTAGGTGATCGAGGGAAGCACGAGAGAAATTCACCCACGGAATGTGTTCGATCTGGATAATTTTAGGTAAAGTTTTCAGAAACTAGATTTTATCACTCTGTCAATCAGAAAGAATGGTCGCTTTATTGAAAGTATGTGCTGGACCAGATATCATTGTTGAAACCCCGATACCATTGTCAAATAACTATTAGTAATTTTAAGAAAACCTATTTTGGAACAAAGACAAAAAGGAGAGGAAAGTTTTGGGTGGTGTGCTGCCACAGTAATTTCGAGTAGACCATGGCTCCAGGCAAACGGAAAGTCAGTGTGCCCCAGCGGCAGGGCCTAGCACTGTCTCGAGTCAAGCATGGGGTGTCGAGTGTAGCTCCGTTCTGTCTGTTAATCACTCTAGAGCGTGATGTCCGTTGATATTCCACAACATAATACATGATACGCGTTTAGACCCACAACGTATCCTCTCAATTCTTCCAGCACCGTAACAGATATGAAAAAGTCCATTGTATCCTGAAAGTTTAGCCGAGTTAAGCTCTTAATAAAGTCCTTTGGTGGTGATGTATCATGGGCTCAGCCTGAATTTGAACTCTGGACTTTTGACGGGACTTTTGCCGGTACTCCGCGAGGTGAATAGGATAATCACACCTGAACAGATGAAGGCCCACTCAAACGAGACTAATGTGGATACACACTTCACGAATCCCACAGATACCTACAAGTAGTCGAAAAAGTGCCTAGTGAGTTTCCGAGTCTCCGTATCGTTAATTGGCAGTAACTGTAACTCACTGTATGCCAATCCTTCTGAAATGCATTCGATTTCGTTTGAAGTCAAAATATGATGTTTAGTGAGAACAGTCAGACCGTGGGGTCTTAAATTGCGGTAAACGCCCTACGTACTGTTGAAAATTCGCGGTTCTAAGTTGAATTTTGAAGCTCCGCTGCATCGAGGAACCGTCAAAGTATTGTCTAGTTTAAGTAGAGCCCCACAAGTGGCTATGGGTTAGTCTTGCTACTGTAAGCTGAAATACCATTCATCACCCTGATTTCATTCTGGATTTCTTCAGGCCAACCAAATAACCCAATTTAGTTTTCGTTATATGAGGAAAACCAATCTATGCCAAAAAGCCGAGGAGTACTATATGGCTGTATTGTCCTAACTGAAAATCATCAGCAATGAGGATCTCACGAAACTTTAGGAGATGCCAGTTCCTCGCTGGCTATTTCGAATCCTGGAATTGACTAAACACGCAAATTAGTAGCACAGTCCAAATCACACCATCGTAGTGGGGACACTGTCACGGATAGTCCCTTTATAATATGACTGATCTACATATCTAGACATCTGAGCAGTACTGCACAACCGCAGAGACTTCCTAAAATTTAAAGCAAACGACAGTCCTCTGTTGAAATGGTAGTCTCGTCTTTTTATAGGCCATTTCAGGGTTGTATTTCGGGCTTGTTAAGGCAGTGGACATTTCATACAGGCTTAATTTAGGAACGCCATAGCCATTTAATAGTTCCGAACTTTTCATGTTTCCTCAATCAATAAACAGAGTAACAAGTTCCGCATGAGAGTGGGGTACCAAAAGCACTTCAAAGATAGCACACAGCTGCCAAGATTCTCCGCAACAGTTCAAAACACTCTATCTATTTACACATAATACTGTCCGGTTTATCAGCAAAGTACACTGCGTTCAGGTTGAGCAGAGATTGTTCGTGTACTACCACTTTACGATTAAGTTTGGAGCATAGGTCCAATCCTTCTAGAGGCGGCGTACTGGCTGCAGATCAGGTGGATTTTAAGCTGTTCGCCGGGAGTGTTAGCTAGCTGGCAGTCACATTGCTAAGTGATTGTGTGGATCATTCATGCGTATCTGCTCGCCATTAAATGGTTTATAGCGAGTGCCGTACACCTCCTGATGTGACCGATTATATTGATTGTATGGGCGTGAGAAGGAATACACACCCAATCACGCACCACTGGTATCCCCCGGGCTGGTTGTGGAAATTTTGCAACCCAGCTGCGAAATCTGGCAAGCAGATCAACAACCCTCAGATCAACCAATAGTAACCTCACCAAATCTAAAACTACTTCATAATCACTTCCACGTTGGCGGCAATCCTTGCATAATGTTTAGAAATAACGAAGTGTG